TTGTAAATGTCTATTTTTAAAGACTTTTTCTTATTAGCATAGTTTACGTAAAAACTTCTTAGCAATGGTTTAAATCTTCTTTTCACAGTCCCACTGCTTCCCCAATTAAAATGGTTAAATCCAGCTGAATCTTCTTGGGCTGCACCAGTGCTGAAAGATTCATACTACTCTCCATAGGTTTAGATTAGGAAAACTACAAGATTTGTGTAATTTTAGACTGTAAAATAACTGGCATAACACAGTCCTTCCAAAATGCATCATTTGTTTTCTGGGTGGGAACATTTTTTTCTATCCTAACATCAGCATTCATTTCTGTAAAGCATATTCTCTGCTTTTATAGGTTCATGGGATAATTCAGGTTAGAATGACCTCAGATATCTGGTCCAACCCCTTGCTCAAAGCAAGGTTAGCTTGTAAGATCAGACCAAGTTTCTCAGGGCTTTATCCAGTTGGAGATTTTCTTATCCTGCCAGCTTCTGTATGGAGCCACTAGATCATTCATGAACTCAGCTGCTTCTGTTTCCATTATAATCTAAAACCTGTAGAAGCCTCTAGTCATCTTTAGCAGAATTAATATGCCCAAATCCAACACCCCATAATAATCTTCTCAAAAACTGGTGCAGATGTTACTATTGGGGCACAAGGATTATTTTTTTTTTCCAGCTTAATTTCTTTCTGTAACCACAAGGCTGTGCAGGGACCTTCCCAGTAACTTCTTTTTCCCTGCAGGGAAAATCAGGTAGAGGGTACAAACTGTTAATGAGCCTGTGCAAAACAAGCCAACAGCCTTTTCAAGACATTGCAGTACTGCATTATTTAAGGACAGAGTTAGGGTAAGGAAATAAGGGCTACCTTCTCAGCTTCTTGTTTTGGATACTGAATGTCCTCCTCTCCTATGCTGCTTAGATAAGAACTTTCCTCTCTCCTGTAGCCATTAATTAAAATCTGCACAAAATTGTTTTTCTCAGGCATTCATGAGTGCCCTCTTAACCCATACCAGGCATCCTCATACTGACTGGCTTTCACTGTCCCCAAGAGGAAAGGATCAGTTTCCTGTCTTCTGAGCCAGTGTGAAAAGACCGACCTTCTGCAGAAGGTTTCAGTTTTCTCTCCAGTGCTGGTCTTATGGCTCCCAGCTGGGTAAGGCTTTGTGTTACTGCAATCTTTACTGACAAGTAGAAAAGAGAAAACTCTTGGTGCAGACCCCCATGTTACCACCAAACCTCTATTCAGAGCTCAGTTAAAGCATCCACGATGACCTGATTCCAGTTGTCCAGAGCAGAGTAGCTAGTCATATTTTAAAAAAGATATTGCAGCACTTCTCATCATCCCACTGGAGTTTATATGAACTTTTCCAACCACAGCTGATTTATTTCAGAATAATTCCTTTGTGCTGCTGTTGTGCTATTATTCTGCTCTTCCAGTTCAGCCATTTAATGTGCGTAGAAAACTCTGGTGACCTGTTTATTATGCAGGCAGAGCAGATATCTACAAGCCAATTGTGGAGAGGAGCTAGTTTGAATTTGTATTCAAATACTCAAATAAGCACATGTTTATTCAGATTTCTCTTTCAAGTTCAGACTCTGAAAGTTTCTCCTGTATTACATATGCACAGTGTTGATATAATCTGGAGTTCCGAGTTGCTTGTAATATTGCTACTAGACATTAGACTAGCGTTGTTTTAGCACCACTTCTTCCTCTAAGGAAAATTAATCATTTACTAAACTAGAATGCTAACATGAATGATTGTCTTGTTATGCATATGCTGATTTGTTTAAATTTTTCAGCCTTTTAGGTCCCTTTTGAAAACAAGCTTAGCCAACCAAACTTAACAAGCTTTTACTTGAGTGTGTGTAAATGTTAAATAAACAAAATATTTTTGCTGCTTATGCTTGCAGTATTCAGCTTCATTAAACATGTTTGTATGCAGTCTGTAACCTTTTAGTGTCACAGGCTGAATGACTAACTTGTAAGACAGATTCAGTTCAGATAGAAGAAGACATGGAAAATGTGCTTTGGACAAGTTGTTTGGATGTAGATCTCCCTAGACAAACTCAGGGTGCCCTGTTCAAGCAAAATAAAGATTTCTGTCTCGGAAATCATGAGGCGTATACCAGGTCAGGCTGGCTTCTCAGAGATGGACTGAAGCTGGCTGGTTTCCCTTTCCATTTTATAAGCTTAATAACAATTAATAAGCTTTTTGCACTGTGAAGTTGTCCATGGTTAACTGTGCCCCTAGAGCCAAGCACGAATCCTCTGGTTACAATGCACTTGTGGGCCCAGGCTGGTGTGATGTGAGGTTTGTGCATCCCACTTCCTTTGACAGCCTGAGAAAGGGTTTGTTTCCAATTAGGCGGCTGGGCCAGGCTTCAGAGGCCAAGGACGTTTTAACAGCAGAGAGAATTTTAAGAATGCCACCACATCTGGCAGATGCTCAGGGAAGACCTTGAGAGCACAGGCAAACAACCAATGCCTGCCTTTAGCCTCACCTGCGAAAGTAAGGATTGAACAAATGTGAGCAAAATTGCATCTTCTCACCTTTGTTTTATTCCAAAGCACGCTGGCCAATATCAAGATTTCAAAGCCCTTAGGCACAGTAAGTACTTGCTTATTCTGAAAATAATGCCATCAATACTGAGGGAATTACAGCATAGCAAATGCCACTTACTAGGAAATTCTGATATCCTGAAAGAACGTATTTGCTGGTTAAAGGAACGAGCAAGTTGCTTCTGCAGTATGGAATTCATAGTAAATCTCAGGGCAGTGGCTCACAGTGATCCTAACAAATCCCTGCAAAGATTGTAATAATGACAGACTACAAAAAATACCAACTAACTGTGCACGCATACAAGCCATGCATGAAGTTACTTACTTTAAGGAGATGTGTCTTGTAGTTGTGGAATTCAAGTGACAACTCTGAAATTAAAAAAAAAAAATGCTGGATAGCAATGCAGTAATTGATCAAGAGGGTTGTCTTAAAATGTTTCCAATGTAAATACAAGGCACTGCAAAACAGTCTCAGCTTGGAAAAAAATACTGTAGAAACATGGTTTTATGGTATGTTATAACATATAAGCATCTGTCCTTATGAGCTATACTGGGGAATCTACTTAAGTACTTTTTCCCAAAGAGGTCAGGGTACCCGCTTTCTAATGAGTGTAGGGTGGCCATAAGTCTTAGTGAACAGCTGCCCCTTCTCTTTCAAATCTCCCATTTAATTTTAGCATTTGAACTTTCTCTTTTGTCTGATGGTTTTCAGATCACAGAAGAAGTAATTTGGTGAAGCAGCTTCTAAGATGTTAGATACCGATCTTGCTCCATTAATAAATGAGCAGTTGACTTCATTTTGTATAAAGAAATCTTTATTAGTTTAAAAAAAAATAAAATAAAACACTCCTGGGGGGGGAAAAAAAAGAATGACAGCATCTGTCTGTCACAGAGTAAATCTATTAGCTATCTAAAGAGTTAACCTTTCAAAGACTAAACCTAATAATATTGGATTTCACAGAGGTAAATAGATTCTTAAAAGCAACAACTCTTTTTAATGTGCATGCATTATACAATACTATTTAAAAAATGCAAAATAAGACATTTTTAAGAATTCATTGCTGTAAATTGGAACTTATATGAACATTCAATTTGATTAGCTATAGCCAAAAGCTAAAAGGTTTGTAACAGAGCCTGAAAAATTAATGATAGCCTTGCTATTTTACTTTTTTTTTTTTTGCTCTCTAAACATCCCTACCATTGCAGCCATCGGTTTCATAACCATGTTTTACCAGACCCTGAAGCAGACACACAGACAAATGAACTCAAGATAGTTCTGAAAAGTCTGTGAAAACACCTCAGGAAATGTTGACTCTTACAGTATGAGGATCAAAGCTGAATTATCTGAAGTTAAATTATTTAAATTCCTTAGATGATGAATTGCATGTAGCTGTTTGTGAATGTTTTGTTTTCTAATTAGGAAACTTATTTTTTACTTATTCTAAAATGCTAGTCTTTTAAGAGTATGAATACTACTCAGCATTTTTAGGCATCTTTTTCTGTTTTATAACTGAACTTTCAGTGACATTTTGTAGTGTCAGAAAATATGCGCTTACAAAGGAAGCCTCGTATTTCACACGTATGGTGAGCAGTGCAATTATGGCATCGTAGTTTTCATCTAATTTAAATGAGTGTTGTATTGCAGTGGTAATTAAAAATGCATTGGGCCAGATCTTACTGTCCTTGCTGAGCCCACAACCCCAAAGCATGTTCAGTGTTATTAGTTTGCTTTTAATTATTGTGGATTTGGAAGTTTCAGCAAAGACCAAGGGCTTATTTTGTTAGAATTCATATGGAGTTAGTGATAGAAGACAGTCTTTGACTTGCTGCATTTGCAGTGCAAATCCCCACGATAGACATTTAGCTTTATCCTGTGGGACCCGGTGTTCTTCACCAGTAACCGGTGTGAGTTTAGGAGACAGAAATCTGACAGACTCGGGAGTCCCAAGTCCCAGGCTGGCGCTCCTACCACAGCAACATTTCATTTCTCTGAACATAATAGGTGGCTTCTTAATGGCAACTGGGATTTGAATGGCACTCTGTGAACCGAAGGTGTGCATTTAAAAAGCATTGTTACTGATTTTTACAGGACAATGACTGTTAGCTGTTGTTTTATAAGGAAATGACTACTGTGTTAACGTCCATTGAAGTCATGAAATTGCTCCGGGTTTCAGTTCTCATCCCTGACATGAGAACTTGGGCTTTGATCATTATCTTTTTAGAGTCCAAGTCTGTAATTTAACACGATTACTTTCACCTATCTAGCAGGCTGCAACACATCAAAAGGGTAAGAACCAACAAGAAGGGGAATGGCCTGTGGTTAAGACGCTGATGTTAGTCTGGAGAGCCGATTTTGGCAAACGCCTCTCATCAGTTCTGCGCCATAGCTTCCTGCTTCTAAAACAGAGATGAAAACGTGTTTTTTCTTTTTCCTCTTGTCTTTGCCTGTCTAGGTTGTAAGCAGCGGTGAGAGTACATATGTGCAACATCTTGTGTGTTACCGCTTCTCGGTGCGGCTGCAACGTTTAATCAATACAAACATGCCTTGTGCTCCTTTGATTCATAAAACGCTGGATGTCTCGCTAATCTGAGCCAGAGAGGAACATATATTTGCAGCTGACCTTTAACTGGAAGGCGTGGAAGATGGCTGTACTTGCTTTGCAGTTGAGGAGCACAAAACCAGTAATGCAAATGTTCAGTTTCTGGCATGCAAATCGGCAGGCCAGGTGGTAGCACACCTGCCTGTTCAGCGCCCAACACATCACGCGTGCAGAGGAAGCAAACAGAGGGTGACACTTGTGTAGTGCTCCACAGCCAAGGATTCCTTCAGAGAGAAAACCTCCTTTCCTACAGGTACCTTAAAAGATGTGCTAAAAGCAGCAACCTCGCGCAGAAGCAGAGTTCCTACTGCATTATAAAGCACCTCCTGTACCAACACGCCACCGGCCCTTCCCCATTTGGCTTTAATTTCTCATTCCTGGGGCTTCCAGAGCACCAAGCGCTCTCTGGGCGCCCCCTGCCCTGCCGGGCCCTTCAGCGCCATTTTGTGCCGCAGGGCGGCGCTGCGGGGCGGGGGGCGGGGCCTCCTCGGCAAGGGGGCGGGGCCAGCGCGCCTCCCGCCCGCAGCGCGGCTCTCATTGCCTCGCGCGGCCGCAGCCCCCGGCCGCCATTGGCCCGGCGGCCCCACGTGGGAGGCGAGGGGGCGGGGCCGGTTGCCCGGGGAACGGCAGGGCGAGGAGCGGCGGCGGCGGCAGCGCCGGAGCCCAGCCGAGCCCTGCGGAGCTGGAGCGGAGCCGGAGCGGAGCCGGGCGGCCCCAGCCCCGCGCTGTCCAGCGCCAGGTACCGGCACCGCGGTGCAACTCGGGCCCGGCAGCCGCGGGGCTCCGGGGGGTGAGGGAGCCGCAGGAGCCCCGCGGGCGGTCTGTGGAGAGCCCCCGTGAAGGCGCTGAGGGGTGTTTAGGGGGCTTGGGGGGGCGGGCAGGGAGCGTCTGCAGCTACGCGGCCGGTCAGCCCGCTCAAAATGCGCTTATTTGTTTATTTATTTATTTATTTTGCTTCCCGTCTCCTCTTAGGTGTTGGTGTGGATGCGTACGAGAAGAGGATGACAGGCGTGCGCGGCTGGTTGTACGCAATTAGCACCTGCTAGATGGGCAAAAGGCAATTATCGCCGGGAAGTGCTTACATTGATTTATGGGAGGAAGGCGGCCCAGGAGAGGGATGCTGATAATCTCAACGCAGTGGATTAAATGCACATTTACACCTTTATTGACGTATAAATTACCCGTGCCAGCAATGCACTGAAGAGGCTGCTGATGGAGCAATAATGTGGCACGAAGTACTGGGTCCGGATTCAGCTCCGTCATCCTTCTGTAAGGCACGGAAAGGGAACCCCACGCCTGAGCTGAAATAGAAGATAGAGGCTCACAGAGGGGCTGCCCGGTCAGATAATGAGCACTGATGGCAGACAGGAACTGAGAAGGATGACAAAAAGCATGGACGAGGTCTGAAGGAGTCCGCTTGCTATTTTTTTTTTAGTTACTTTTAGATTTTTGTTGTTGTTCGTGCTATGGATTTTTAGGGAAAGCTGAGAGAGGCCGGAGGAGTATGTGTAGTTGGGAAATGGAACCTGGCTCTGAATCCAGCCAACATCAGAAAAGGAAGCCCGTGACACATGGACTGGAAGATCAAAAAAGGGTAAGTGACAAAAGGCCTCTGCTTAAATTGTTGGATGAGATGCAAGTGGCAGAAGAGCTCCTTATAACTCTTCTGTCAGCTGCAGTTGCTGCTCACTGTGCCTAGCCCGCAGCAGATCTCTTCTCGCTATATATTTAAAAAAAAAAAAAAAAAGTTGTCTTTCTGTTCAGACTTCTTGCAATGTATGGAGCAAGGAGCTGAGGGGAATGAAAATTGCAATATGAGTAAAGTAAGGGAGATATCTCCAGAATGTTGGCTACTTGTTGGTGAAGAGATCTGTGGTGTAAATGAGGTACATTGACTCTTGCTAAGTCTACTTAAATTATTGATTTGTTGTAGCTTTAACTCTTACTGGTATTGGTAGGGAGACTAAAAAAAATTGCTTTCTTGGGATTTGGCCAGTAAATTTGCTGAATGCATGGCATGGTTGTCAGTGTCCTTATTGTCCTGATGATAATGTTATCATTTTTATGTGGTTTCCAGACGTGACCAACTTGAAACAACTCAAAATGCACAGTGGAACATACTTAATGTCAGCTGACAGATCCCATTTTGCACAAGTGCTTTGTGGAAGCCTGGTGTGTCAAGGTGGCATTGTATTATTTAATGGTAATTGATTGGCTATGTGCATTAAGTTGACCTAAATGAAGTTGCTATCTCTGAAAAACTGTAGCTTGTGAACAACTGGGGCTTCAAAGTTGTTTTCCTGGTACCAGTCAAACAGACGGTAACACTTGACATGCTTTTGCTGTATGTATCATTTGTATTGTTTTCCATGCAGATTTGTTTGTTGGTTTAAAACAGCAAAAACAGCACCAACAAAAACCAATGCTGTTACTTGGCTTTGTGTGAAGAGCTCCCTTTCCCTGTGGCTTTTATCCATGATTTGTATTTCATGTGAAATAAATTGGGGTGGGGGGTAAGACGGACCATCAAATATTATTTTGCTGTTCAACGGTGCTGTCTAATTTTGGAGAGGAGGAGGCATGTGTCACAAATTCTTCGAGTCTACTGAAGAGTCAGAGTGGATTTTGTCACTCCATTAGAAATCAAAGCAGCTTGGAAAACTTTCAGAAATGAGATAAAACATAGCTGTTTCCTCAGAAGAATGACATTTCAGGAGTACTTATTTGGGCAACCAACTAGAATTCCAAAATATATTTTAATTGCACCAAGCGTGATCTGTTAACTGATAAGCTGACACGGTCTTCCTTCTGCTTTTTCAAGGAAGCCTTTTGGAGCTGAAGAAAATCAATAAGGGCAGCAATAAAATCCTTCAATCGACTTTATTTCTGGAGGCCACTCATATTTTATGTTTTCCTCAGGCATGCAGTAGTGTACTGTGTATCGAGTAGATGGGAAAAACATTTGGGACCTGAGACACCAAAGTAGACTCTGACTGTTTGGATGCCCCAAAATTAATATGCCTCTCCTTGCTGATAGGTATAGAAGCCTACATCTCCCATCTGCTCCTGGCTCTGGGTATTTGGTACACATGTAGTATATGGTCTCTGAAAGTATAATATAACCCCAAGTGAGGCTCAGTGGCAGCTGGGATAACATCAATTGGTCATGCTTTGCTGACATTCATTTTAACTTGAACTCTAGCCGTCATGGAGATTATTAAATTTATAATGATATATGTAAGATCCATTTTAATGACTCTTCATGCTTGGGTGATCTCTCTCACTTCTGTTTGCAAAACAAGTCTTAATAGAGTATTACATTTCATTTCCTATTGAATTTTCCAGGGAAAGGTTACTGAAGAGAGCTTCAGACTTGTGTTTACTGGGAAAAATAATTTTGGAATAAAAGTGTTGACACGACTCAGTTGTTATGGTGGAGTTGAATAATAATGTAAACTGTGATGTTCTTAAGCTTAAAATTGTTTGATTTCTTATTGGAAAAAAATGTGTTTGTGATCCAAGGCTGTTAGAAGTGTCTACTGATGATTAATTCTGTTACTGAAAAATGAGACTAGTACTGGAAGAAATAAGACCAAGCTCATTTGAAATCAGACAATTTTTTTTTTTTATTAATGATATATTTTATGGCTATAAAGTCAGTCTTTCTTTAGAGTTTCTGAAGCAGTAAGCAATCAGTATGTGTATATATGCCAATCGATGCATCTGGCATATCTTCCCCAAGTAAAGTACCAGAAAGCTAGGTTTTCATTTATGGTATAGAAATAAAGACGTTGCTTGATTTGCTTTTTTCTTTTTGTAAGCATATTTCTAGGTATCTACTTCATACCCTCTATTGATCAAAGTGAGATGAGGTTTAGTATTTGTGTTTATTGTTTAGTGGTACAAAGCTTGGCTTTTTGCAGTTTGGCTCATCTGCAAGAACTAGAAATTGAGCTGAACTAGAAATTTCACCACGGAAATCAGTAGAGGTGGAATTAGCTTTCCACCCAGGCTTTAAAAGTACTTTAATGTTCAGGGTAGCATGGCATCTAGCAGCACAACTTAGGTTGGCTGTGGTGAGAACTACAAAGCCAAATTCCTTGGAAGTTGTAAAATAGCCCTAAAAAATACGACCGGCTTGAACAACCGTGTAAGTGGTCCAACTGAAGGTAGTCAGATTACTAATGTGAATAAAGCGAGTGGTTTTTATACCAATATGTGACCTTGGCAACAAAGTCTTTCAATGCAAGAGATGACATAGCTGATTTTGGAGGCTTGTTGAATTTGTGTGTAGATTATTTTATGTTAGCAAAAATGGACAGTCAGTCATCACCAGTAACTGGGCAGTTAGGTTTTTATTTGCTGAGGGGACTTGAGGACATCGCTGTAAAGCAGGTAAAAGACATGGCTACAGTAATCTTGGTGTATTTCAGCTGTCCTAGATCATGGAAGACATTTCTTCCCTGTGTTCTCATTTAAACACGCTTTCTGTTGAGGATCGAGAGGAAATATTTCTTCAATTGGCTTCTAGCCTTCATTCCCAGTCTTTCTGATTGCCCGTTCGGATTAGTAGCTCTGTTACACTTCTGACTTCTGCCAAAGTCAGCTTAAAAAGCATAAGCGGTCTCTCAGGTATTGACCTTCTGTTACAAAGAACAAGTAGTGTTTAAGGTGGGGCAACGTTGGCTGAGTGCCGTTTTGTTGGTGGGTGTTTGTGCCGAGACATTAAAGCGGCTGATTGCTGTTGAGATGTCAAGCCAGTGTGAAAGCACTCAAGTATAACCCCTATAAACTGCAGCAAGCCTTAGCTTATGGAATTAACGGCAAGCTGCGGTGTGGTGCTTCGAGAATGTTGCTAATTGGTCTCCTCTGGAAAAAGAAATGCAATATAAATTCACCGAGTGAAAGAACTGAAGAAAGTCATGGTCATGCCTTCATCTAACAAATACTGAAAGCCTTCTGTAAGCAAAACAATCAATGAAGGATTTTGGTTCTTAACTGTGGGGTTCGTATTTCTTTCTTGTAATTAAGATCATTGAAATGCTTACTTTCAACTTAATATTGGTAAGTCAGATTTGGGGTTTGGTTGCATGGATGAGTCTTGGTGATCTGTCTCGTTCTCAGCTTCTGCATGCAGGTCATATGTTTGCTGCATTTAAGATGTTCCTGAAAGCCATTTTATGGGCATGCTGTCTGTGACTATTTCAAGCCACTCTTTGTTAAGAAGCTGGCTCAAAGAAATGAGTGGTTCTGCTCATATTGTAAAATTGATGTAAAATTGAATCTTCGGGATTGTTACGGAGTATCTTGTATTTATTTTTCTTCTATTTTTTTCCTCTTAAAGTTGTTTCTGTAGTGGTTTTAATGAGGAAGCTGTAGGAGTAAGTGTGATTTCATTATTGCCAGTCCTTTCCTAATCAGGCTAGAGTCTTAACGAAATTTCTTGGATGAAGAAACGGTGCCAACTACAGCTGTCAAATGTATTTCTATAAGGTAAACAGTGAATCTTGTCTGTTGATGCCTGTTGTAATATCTGGCTGGTAAAAGGAATTGCACTTGCACAAGTTTTTTAAAATTGGGGGTGACTTTTTCCAACTTGTGTCAGTTTACATTAAGATGTGGCCCAAAGGAGCTGTGCTGATTTAGACCTGTCAAAGACAAAACTGCGAGTGGTGAGCTGCTTGCACTGGAGGTGGCCGTGGCATCTCGTCTCATCCAGAGCTGGCTCAGGTGTGGTGCTGTTGGCTGGTTGGCTCTTTGCCCTGTCCTCTTCCCGCAAGCCTTCTGTGTTCCTGCAAATGAAAAAGCTCACGTGTGATTTCTTTAGGTCTTACCAATACTTGTGCAAATTACAGGTCTTTACCTCTGTTCTGTTGTGTGAAAGGGAGTAAATGATACGTAGCACATGTACATATGCTGTAAGTTGTGATGCAGGTACAGACGGCTCCAAAAACAGATGGGGCATGTACAGGTGGGCTCTGTAAGAGAGGCGTGCTGGGTTAGTTATTTCTGTTCCTCTTGGTGGTCACCTTAATATTGAGACTCGTAAGATCAGTGTTTTTCTGTGGCTATGTGGGTAGCACTTTATGTGGTGTTCAGTGATCCAAGCGAAAGATCAAAATCCACCTTCGTTTTAGGTTGAATTGAGGCAGCTATGTTCACGTTCAAGGACTGAATGTTGTCATGCAGAGCCTGAAAATGAAAAAAAAAGTTTACAACTACTGCAAAACTGGAGAGAAGAGAACAACAGCGATTCCCATTTATGTCCCAATGATTTAGGTGCTAACATGGCACACAAACCTCTTTCAGGTCAACTTCTTTTAGATCTATGATTGAAATTAAGTTTCTTGGTAAATAACTGGTATCACATTGGTCTTTCTCTCCCAGAGAATAAAGCTATAGTTGTGGCGGTGTTGTTAAAGTGTGGCAGTTGTTAAAGTTCTGGAGTCTCCTTCCAAACAATTATCCCTGAAGGGGTGCCTCCCAAGATATTCAAGATGTTAATTATGCGATATCATAAGGAGGAAAGGGGATACCTCAAGAATAGATAACTAAATCCAAATAATGACTTCTGCCTGATGTGCAGTGGTTATCTTGTATCTGCCAAGCTGTTTGTGTTACTACATTATGCAGTTTGTGTGCATCAGAGTAAATCTAGCTTTAAGGAATCCCTGTATGTTGGAGTGTTCTGGGGTATGTGCATTGGCATGCTTCCATCCTCTTCTTGCCTGACAATGCTCAATTAAATTCTCAAAGGCATTAGCTTGATGCAAAAGGACACTTCTTACATTGAGCAAGAATAAAACAATGAACAAAAAAATCCTATGCTCACTGAGACCCTTCTTTTCCTCACCTCAAGTGAAGCTTATTAGCCTAAAATAACTTTGCCTTGACTTAGGAGTTCACCTGAAGTTCTAGGGATATGAAAAGCATCCATTGATGAGCACAGTGTTGTTGCACAACTTTGTATTGTACCTTTCTCAATCATTTGTGTGTGCTTTAAATATCCTGATTTTATCGATGGGTTAAGTGACCAAGGGCAGTGTTGGCCTTCCACGTTAACGCATCTTCAAGCTTCTGTTAGAGAGAGTAAAGTTGATGAGGAGATGCAGGCAGCTGAGAGACGAGACTGACAAAGAGCTGCTGCTTGTTGTGGCTCTGTACTGATGGACTGGTTGTGTGAAATGTTATGCTGCTGAGGACAGACTCTGGAAATCTGTTAAAAATCTTTACAGTGCCTTTTGCAAACTTCCTGATGGTGCTGTTCTCCAGCTCTGGGTCTTTATCTTAACTCAGGGTATAGCAGAGGGATAAATTAGACTATGTTCATTGGAGCTGAGCCTGTCTCTCTGCCAAAGCAGGTGGTTTCATTACCAAATTCTGGAAAGCCTCTGGAAATGATTGTGTGGAAGAGCATTTACACAGGGCCTTTTAGCCCCACAGGGGTGGGGGCTGGTGCTGACAAGACACCCAAACTGCTGCCCTCACCTGCAAGAATGTCCCCGCTTGTATGCATCTCCGTAGCATCTCGTTTTACACTGGCCTTTTTTCCTCTCGGGTGATGACAGATTAAGAGTACGCTGGTGTGATCTGTGGGGACAGATCCGCAGCAGCCTGTGCGGTGAGCCGTGCGCCCGCGGCGCTGATCGATAGCCGCTGTGTCGGGGCGGTGGGATGAGCCAGGCTGGCCTCAGACCCCGCTGACAGGGCCTTCACACCCTGAGGCATGGGACACCATTCGCCTGATCTCTAATGGGCATGAATTAGCCAGGACATTTTAAAATTCATCCAGGCAGCTTGGTTTGGGGGGCGTCTCCAGCCAGTGGGCTGCGCGGGTGGGCAGCACTCAGTGCTGAGTGCTGTCTTCTCCATCTGTCCAGCTCCTGGCTGGGGCCTGGGGAATGGTAGGGATGGCTCCAGAGCCAAAGCTCTGATGCTGGACTCAGTGGTGCAGCCCTCCCCAAGCTTTTGAGGTGTTCAGTTTTTGTTTTCTCATTTTTTTGCACATGCTGTGCAGCTCTTGCATTGGGGACTTTCACGGTGCTGTCCTGGTCTGTGCTGCCTGAGGTGCTATGTGTGAGTGACCCTGTTACTCCAACTCTGCACGTCCTGCTGTAATAATGAGGATTTGATTGCTAGGATCATAACAGCTCCATCAATCTAACCTCAAAGATATCAAAGCCAAAAGTTTCAGTAGTAAATATAAGTACTATATAGTCTAAGTAGTCTTTATAATACAAAGAGTATGTTATACGTTATAGCATAAAGAACACTCATTTAAAAATTAAAAAAAAAAAAAGTATTTAATGTTAAAAAGGGAAAGCCTGCTGCACTCTTATCAAGCACGGATTATAGGACACTACAGAGAACTCGCTGCCTAAGAAACTTCTGGTTTGAGTTAGATTATTGAAACTTATTCTGGAATGATCAGGTTCCAGAGTGTCCTTGAAGATGCTTCTCCAGCAGTGAAATGCGCTCATCTGTTCCTCCTTTCTTTTACAGTGCTGATGAATCTGCTGCTGAGATTTAGCAGAAACATCCGTATTTCCCATGTTTTTTCTGTTTGAAACGTAGCAAAACCAACTCTCCTGTGCTATAGGATGCCTTTCTA